TTCCTATGTTTCCAAGTGATGGCAGGACCCAAAGCTACTTGTTCTATTGCTGCTCGAGAAGCTGCCTCCGCTGCTACAACTCAAGCAACGATCAATCAACCACCTCTACCTCTACCTCCTTAGTAAAACTTTACAAATCCACAAGTTGTGATTCTGATGCATCCAAATTTGGTCTAAACTCCTCAGGTAGATAAATCTATCCAATTGCCTTTTATTGGACCTCAAATTTCACCTCCAGTTGTGTAACCCGAAGTCTTACTTGGTTTCCAATTACTGCGAGCAAACTTCAAACTACATGACGCCAACGAGTTACTAAACATCATGTATAACATCGTTCTGTAGTAGAACTTGCAAGTGATAGAAGAAAAGTTGTTTCACCTTGAAGAAAGCCTACACAATACTCCTAAACGAGGGAGCATCAATTAGAAGGGCGTATCTAGAAGGACTCACCCTGCCGGTCTAAAGCCAACCACAACGAAAAAAAGACTAAACTTCTTAATCTAAGAATCATTAGAGGAGCAAGAAACATTAGAGTCCTCTTGAAATTCTCGAGGGAGATAGAGACAATCATGCTCCTCCCTTAGATTAGGCAAAAAAATGGTCGTTGAAGGTTCAATAGAAGCATCCACTGTGCACTAGGATTTTAGAAAACAAAATACCGAAATCCATGGAGAATTCGTCCAAGCTAGGTGAGTACGATGAAAATGGAGATCCATACAAGCACGTGCAACTCGTTAATGACATGATGAACTATTTCAGTGCCGAAGAAGCCTCTTAAAGCACGTTGTTTTCCTTAACCTTGGTTGGCTCAGCCATACTGTGGTTTGATGGCCTGCGAGACGAGAGCATTAGATCATGAACTGATTTCTGTGAGCAGTTCGCTTCACACTTTATTGCCTAAAAGAGACAACCAATAACTCTATTTTCCTTGGGCACGATTGTTCAAGGGAAGAAAAAGAGCTTGCAGTTTTATATTATTCGTTTCACGCAAGTTAAAGTTGAGGTAGAGGGTGATCAGTGCATTTTGAGCCACATTGTTTTACTAATTTTTACTTTTTTTTAGTGTATTTCCTAAGTTTACTTTATTTATGTTTTTATTTTAATTCTCTTACTTATTTTCTGAATAAATAGTAATTTGACATATTCTTGATATGCATGTTATAACTTGAGCTACAAGATGCAATTTGACGCATTCTAGTATACGTTGGAAAGCTGAGAGAATAAGCTACAAGTTTTGTGTTGAAGTTAGAAGCTAAATCAAAGTGCATAAAAGTTGAATACTATGTTTTCGTGCCAGACTTTATAAATCAATTAGTTTTGGGGAAAATTTTATGTTTTTCCGGTCGGTTGCTATTAGGGTATGATTTCTCTTGTACTGTTTAAACTAAAATGCATTGCTACTGCTAAGGTATTCAATATTTTATGGAATAGAAAAAAAACTTATAAATTCTAAGGAGAACTAATCACCTAGGTTGATATGTCGTATTTGGATTCCACAACTTTGAGGTTTATATAATTTTCAATTCAATTTTGATTTCTTTTCAATTTCGTCTATGAGTTCGATTGCTTAATTCAATTCTTTTCATTTGCTGAATTCGATGGTTGCTTATAAGATAAAGTTTATTAAATTTGATTGCGTTCATGATCCTTATCTTTAACTGTGTTTGACGTAACTTTTTCGTTAATTCGTGTGATCTTTAACCATTTGTTTAATTCAAAAAATAGGATCATAAACCATCTAGTATCATTTGCGTTTATTTACTCAATATTATAATCAAATCAAATCGAATCCACTTAGGAAATTGAAATTATAAGAATCAATGATAAATTGAAAACTGAACCAATAGATTAACCTGTTCGCCATATTTGTTTTAGTTTACCTTTTTACGATTACAGTTCCAAAACCTTAAAACCCCCTTGTTCCAATTGGTTGGTTATAATAATTACGAGTCCTTGCCATATGACTCGAGTGTCGCTTCTATTTACTACATTTTTAAAAAAATCGATTTTGACTAGTGTGTGACAATGAATCAAATTGGCGTCGTATCTGGGGACCCTTGCCGATTTTAACCAATATTAAAATCATAGGTATCTCGTTCATGCTGTTTTGGCCAATTTGCGATCTAGCATCAAAAACTCGATTTTTTGAAAATCGTGTCCGAATCAAAATTTTTACATGCCATTTTAGAGAAAAAAAACCAAGATTCAAAGTCCCATGAAATCCCAAATTCCTTGTTTTTCTATTTTTTTAAATTTTTTTGTTTTCATATTTTTCGAAAAAATCTGAAAAAATTTGGAGTCTTATTTTGATTTTATTTGATTTTTAGTGATATTTCTAGATTTTATTTTATTTTAGTCGATTTTCACTTTTTTCAAATGTTTTTCTCATTAGCGACATTGTTGGTATTTTCATATTTGTTGCATTGCTGACTAATGGAGTCATGGCAAAAAAATATGTACCTGCGGATAAAATCCGTCACGGATATGGGGAGAGTAACTTAATGGATATCCACGGATAAAATCCGTCACGAATATGAGGAAAGTAACTTAATGGATATCCACGGATAAAATAAATAAATATTTAAATACCTGTTTGTTAATGGATATGAATACATGTATAATGATATTCGTGCCCGTGAATATCCGTATCCATTAATAAATTATAAAAATAATTTAAATATCATTATTTTATTATACCTTATCTTTTCATCTTCTAAAAAATTTGTCTTGCAAGTGAGGATCCACATAAGCATCTAAAAGAATTCCGGGTTGTATATTATGCACCTTTGAGGCCTCAAGGATTTACCGAAGATCATGTCAAACTTAAAGCCTTTCCATTTTCATTGCAAGGTGATGCGAAAGATTGATTGTATTATCTTGAGCCGAATTTTGTCACAAACTAGAATGATTTGAAAAAGTGTTCCTAAAAAGATTTTTTCTGCCTCAAGAGTTGCTTCGATCAGAAAAGAAATATGTGGTATTAGGAAGGTTGACATAAAATCATTGGCCGAATATTGGGAGAGATTCAAGCAATTAGTGTCGAGTTGTCCTCAACACCAAATTTCTGAGCAATTATTATTCAAGTACTTTTATGAGGGATTGTTACCTATAGATACAAATATTTTGGATACTGCTAGTGAAGGAACACTTGTTGATAAGACCCCAGCTGTAGCTAAGACCTTAATTGGAAACATGTCACTCAACTCACAATAATTCACAACCAGAAACAACTGTGGTTCTGACAAAAGAAGTGAATGAGATTTAAACTTCTTCAAACAAGGCTTTATAGATCAGAATTGACAAACTTACTTCATTGGCGAGACAATTGGTAGTAGGAAAAACGCACACAGAAAGGTTATGTTGTATTTGCACCTCTCCCGAACACCCAACATATACATGTCATACCTTGCAAGAGGGTGAAATTACTGATTTTCCTCAAGCATATACAACAAACATTTACAATCCTCAAAACAACAATCAATATAGGTACAACACTCCTGACCTATCCACTAATAGGTACCATCCCAACTAGAGAAACCATTCAAACCTTTGGTATGAGAATCCATCCACACAACAAACTAGTCAACAACAATTGATGCTGCCATTACCACCATCACATGACACCCAACAAATAACCACCTCTGCACCTACCGAGCGTTTATTAAAGGACCTTGTCAAGCAAAAGACTCTACAAAATCTCCAATTTCAACAAACGAACAGCTTGCCACTTCGATGAATGCCATGCAAGCTCAATGATGCAACCTATTACCTGTCCAAACAGTAATGAATTCAAATAGACCTAATGTAAGTGCAATTGCCTTGAGATCCCGAAAAACGACAGATTGTTGGTCTAACCATTTGGGCGGCGCTCACTCATTTGGATTATATATGAATCCCATTTCTCTAATTTTCATATCTTTACTCATTCTTCTTGACCTAAAACATTGTTATGCCTGAATTAACCACCAATAAACCTCCCTTCCATCAAATCTGCAAGCATCTTCATGCCAAAATTTCCAATACATCACACATTACCTTCCTGATCAGAATTGCTCTAATACCAATGGATAGAATCAATTGTTATATTATATCTGAAAATGGGAAAGAATTCCATTTACCAAAAGGTCATATTCCTCTCAAATGATAATATGCCCTCTCTAATCTTCATATCTATTTATAGACATGTCTTATTTGGCATAACTATCTCTCAACAAAACTACTAACTACCCATTAATTAATTAACTAACTAACCAATTACTTAACTAACAAGTAACAACTTCTTAACTAACAATAGCAATCCTATTAGTTTGGATCAATTCATTACCATGCAACTTTAACAAATGAGAACAAAGTAGCACAACCTATTCGAGCTATGAAGTTTTCAGTGTCCCCTGTGGTAAGTGTAGAAATTACATGCAAGGTTGCATCAGATCTTCCCAAGCTTGTCCAAGGCTTTAAACAGTTATCAAAGTCAGAATTTGCAGGATGATTTCAAAGACCGGTGAACATATCATAGCTGTCGTTGGTGAGCTGCACCTTGAAATCTGCTTGAAGGATTTGCAGGATGATTTTACGAATGGAGCTGAGATTGAAAAATTTGATCCTATTGTCTCTTTCAGCAAGACTCTGCTTGACAAGTCTAGCCATACTGTGACGAGCAAGTCACCAAACAAACAAAACCGTATATACATGGAAGCAAGGCCAATGGTGGAAGGGCTTGCAGAGGCCATTGGTGATGGAAAGATTGGACCAAGGCATGACTCCAAAAACCGTTCGAAAAGTACTGTCTAATGTTTGGTTGGGATAAGGAACTTGCCAAAAAAAAAATTCAGATTTCTATTTACAACAAATGCAGTAAGTCAACAATAGACAGATGTTGGAGATCTTGCTGCATAAATATTCTGTTGAAGGCAACTCTGACATATGGTGCTAAATAATCAACCATCTATAGGATCAATCAAACTAACCAATCTATGAAATCTTCTAAAGAATACAGAAAATCAAAATCTTGATATAACCTGCAATTTCAAATGCCAAATTTAGGTTAACAGGAATAACACTTTAAACGAAAATTGCATATAAAAAAAGGTGACAATAGGGTTAACTATGAAAAGATATAAAGCAAAACAGTATGAACTTGCCTCAGTTATTAGTGGCTTTGCATGTTCTTCCCATTCAGTAACCCACCTTGATGAAGAACCAGTATCTAGTGCACCTGATTTGAGAGCCTTCAAAGAATCGCACGCAACGGGAAATCCCTTGAAGAGTGTCTATGTAGATACAGCCAGTAAACAAATTAGTATGCTCATGATTTAGCTATAAACATCGTCCATGTTATGAATCAATAGTTTAAAGAAGAGTTATGTATCACAAGGATGCAAAAACCGAATGCACACAAATGGCTAAGATTTAGCTTAAATAAATTGTGTATCTAACTAATACCGTACATGCAATCATAAACAAACTTACCAAAAGTTCATCAGCTAGCTCTGAAGATGAAGAGAAGAGAAGACCATTTTTGTCAACGCTAACCAGCTCTTTAATGCTTCAAAAAAGTAAAAGACTTGACCGATAAACGAAACAATCACAAAGTGTAAACATCAATACTCGAAGGAAGTACTTAGCTTACCAAGAGTATGAAACAGCACAAACAGGCAGCCCACAGCCAAACATATCAACAACCTGATACCAATAAAGAGGAAAATTTAGAAATGTACCGAATGAGTATGAGGTTCAATGAAATAACTATTTATGACATGAAATGAAGAAAAGTCGGTAATATCACATCACATCTTTGTTTATCCAATGATATATGACAAAGGGTACCTTCATGGGAAGGTCTAATCCTGATGATGAAGTATGCAGACAAACACCTAGATCAGCTGATCCTGAAATTACTCAAAGATTTTAACATCAAATACTTGACATCACTGCAAGGAAAATTTTTAAAATCGAAGAACAAAAAAACGTACCTAGCAGTAATGGATAATCATCTGCAGTCAGCCACATGGTGCGAAATGCCACACGTTTAAGTTTCAATGTCTTTATTTTAGCTTCATACTTTGCTTTTTCAGGACCTTTACCTTTATCAAGAAAGATTCTTCGTCAAAAATTCCCGTACGATTTCAAAGCTTCAGAATACAAGAAAAAAAACAAATTTTTTACCAGTGATGACGAATAACAATCTGGGATATAAACATTGTTTTCCATCAGATATTTCTTTCCACATAACCTCCTCATCTAGTGAATCATCTTCATTCAATATAGCTGCAACACGCCTGTCATACATTAAAGCAGCTTCTAAGAGAATGCCAAAATCTTCATCGGGAGTCCTGAAAGTGGCACAAGCCGCAAAAACAAAGCATTCAAGTCTGGCAAAGTGAATGACGACTTTATCTAAAACAGTATCAAAATCTCTATTGGGTGATGTAACATAAATAAAAATATATATTGCCAATTTTAATGCAACCAATTCATAATAGGACACACTTACCAGCTCGTGCTGCTTACAACAAGTGCGGGCCGGTTTGGCTTCAAATATATGTCTGAACCAACCTCAGTTGTAAATACACTCTCATTTTGGATTTGGCTACTCGTCAACGAACTTCCTGCAGAAAGCAAGAATGTTGAGAAATATCATGCTGATTGCCATCGACTAGGATCAATATATATATATATATATCAGGATTGTAAAACCTATCTTACCATTACTAACACAATCTCTAACACCAAGAGGATGATAAAAGTGTTCATTCAGTCTGCAAAACAACTATAAGCTATCTATATTGTATTAGGAAATCTTTAGGAATGCCGAATATGCAACACCATTCACAGTCACTAGACAAGTGAACAACTATATTATCACCTTATGCCTTTCTTCCGGCGAAGTTGGATGAAAGAAATCAGGAGGTTGATCGTACAAAACTGTAGCACTATGACATTAAGGAACAAACATCAGGTTGCTTCACATTACATAAAGAATTTGAACTTTTAGTTGATTTTCTTACTTAATCCCCCAGTTTTGAGCCAATTCATGCTGCATTGCTTTTGTTACGCAGAGAGAAGCGTCTGCCATTTTCCCATAACGATTCTCAAACCTAAATGGAGCCAAGAAAAATAATCACATTAGCAACAAGTTTGAGAAAGCAAAGTCATGCAAGAGCAAAGAAAAAATCCACATCCGCAAACGTAAAAAAGTTACAAATCCCGAACCAATACCATTTGTATAAAGAGACAAAACGGCTATTCCTTCCAAGGGACAGTCCAAGTAAAGTATATCCGAAATTATGCCAATCTATGACAAATGATGATTTCCTCAACCAGCTAGCCCATTTTACTGCCACCAGAGTTGGAACTGATGGGGGATTCTGCATAAAACAAAGATATGAGAGAAGTGAAGTACAGAGCTATAGAATCATACTTGCTGCCAGCTCTTGTTGTTTTTGCTTCATTCGTCAATGACTCATCACACAGCTAGGATCTGTTTAGGTTAACTTAATTCAGCTTATCTACTGACATAAGTACTTCTAAGACTGTTTGACAGAGCTTACGAAAACAGCTTATGACAGGTCCATTAGCTCTTACGGATAGCTTATGGAAAAAACTTTAGCTTATATGAAACCAGTTTGACTTTATTTTATCTTTTGTTATAGAAACAACTTATACACAAACACTTATATGATAAACAATTATGCAATAAATACTTTAATAAACTGTTTATCCAAACAAGACTTTAATCTAACTAAAAATCCGAATAAATTTCTTGCTACAGAGTGCCAAACATCATCTATGCAAAGAGAGCAAAGTTGGGCAAAATAGAATCTCTCTTGTAGCCTAAACCCCAAACTAATCTAATCTAACACAAACTAATATGCAAATATGATATTTAATAGTATGTATTTAGCTTCTAAGATGCTTCTCAAACATCCATTTTTCAAGTACACTTGTCTAGTACTAATTAAAGCAAGAACAAGTAGCGTTGAATCTATCACGCAAAACATAAAATTACTTAAATAATACGGGAGAATAGGGGGAATAAAACATAAAGGGTAACTAACCTGGACAATAAAAATATCAGGAGAAGGTATCTTTATACAAAGGTACCAAAGAAGCGTGAAAATTTGAAACAAGGGCTTCAACAAAAGCATGAAAGGTTGAAGTATCTTCGGTAAGCTTTGACGAGCTGTTGACCACTGCTTCTGAAATTTTGAGAATGATCCAACCAAAACTACATCAACTTTTTGTAAAAATTTGTCCTCAAAAGATTAATCGAAACACATACCATTAGGTGAATATGAATAGATGGGTTGGCCAGAAGTTCAGTATGTGGCTCTGAGCCTGTTAAAAACCATTGAACACAAAAAATTTACTCATATTAAAATTTAAAAGTAGTAATCAACTCCAAAACAACATATTGAACTAATAAAACCAAACTCAAATGGTTCATTTTAAACAATTCCAATGCAGAAAAAGTAGGATTGAGATCATCTCTAACACTCAACACTTCCAAAAGAAGAGAGACAGACACAATTTTTTTGAATGATAAACAAAATTCAATACATCTATCTCTTGTGTGTATCTCTCTCCTACTGAAAGTGTCCAGTATGAAGTACGGACACCAGACACCGACATGTTGATACCAGTAATAATTTAAAAAAATGGATAAATTAAACATAATCACAAGTGTTGTTGGTGTCGGTTTTGGCCACTGACACAACTTTCTCAACCAGAAAAATTTACCTCCATATGCAACAATGTCAACCTCTAGGGAAGCCTGAAAATTAGAATGACACATAGAAAAACCATTAGATCATTCAATCAACAGTTCATGTAATGGGAAATCAAACAACATATGCAAAATCAAATCAAAATAGTTGATGAAATTATACAAAAACAAATGTAAAATTGCAAAAAGAAAAAAGAAAAGAAGGAAAAACCTGATTGGCGAGTGAGAGGGCATGGTACTGCATTCTAGGGCTGCGTCCAATGTCACCCAAAACTACAACACAAGCCCTCCCTCTTCTTCCTCCTTCCATCTTTTCTTTGCTTTTTCCTGTCAATATCAAAACTCAAAATTCAATTCAATCATTCGTCAAAATCAAATCTTTTTCAATCGAAATTATTAATTAAAATTGAAAAGAAAGAAAAAAATTTCTCACCTGCCATCTTCGCTGTTGGTAGTGACAGATAGAGTCAAGTTAGCATATAGACGAAGCAAGAAGAAAATGAAATTCGGGTCAAAACCCGATCCATAAAGTGCTTGTATGACTCAAATCGAATACGGGTCGAATTTTTTTGGGGTAAAATTGTATTTTTTGCTGATTTTATATCTTTTTTGAAAAGGGGGTTTTTTGTTTTATTGAAAATTGAATATGGAAAATTTATGTAATGGAGCGCAGAGAGAATCAAAAAACTCCACAGGGTTTGAAATTTTAGCAACCAAAGCTTTGATTTTGATTCTTATATTTCACTTCTAACAATGATTATGCTTGAAAATTTGCAGGCCAAATAGCTAGGGTTTTGGTTGAATTTTTGGAAGTTGCTATTACTTCTGTTGTTTTTCTCAAAGGGGTTTATCCTTCAGGTTTGTTTGGTTGCTTGCAAAAAGAAAAAGCAATGATTTTTAGCTGCACGTTGCAATTTGATTTGCATGTATTGCTTTTAGATTATTTATAGCTATTGATTTTGATTATTTTGGTTATGGGGAAGGTGCTTTTGAGAGGAGAAGGTATATGAATGTGGTGGTTCAAAGGGCTTGTCATCCTCAGCTTAGATATTACATTCATGCCACTGTTTCAGGACTTTTTCCCTTTATACAAAAGGTTGGTCTTTTTTAGTACTTTGATTTTGTTCTTCACTCATCATAATATGTGAGTTCTTGAATTGATTGCTTGATTTGTGCATGTTATTTGGTGAATGGCACTTTGATATGTATACCTTTCATGTGGTTGTTAGAGTATAAGCATTTATGTTTAGATTATTAGGAGTTGTTAGGGTCATCCTAACCATCCTTGGTATAAGGTGTGGAATAAGGTGATTCCCTCAAAAGTGTTGGGTTTGGTATGGAGATTGTAACAAAGTAGAATTCCAATAAGAGAGAATGTTATCAGAAGTGGAGTCATTGATCAGGGTTGAGTCGGTGTGCTGGAGAGCGTGGCATTTGGAGTTCTATGTGTCATTGGCTTGGCATTACAACTATTTTGCAAAATGATGGGTGGAATCATCTTGATAAGTTTGAAAATCTTCTAGGCAAGGACGGGAGAGTATCTTCGAAGCTTGCAGTGTTATGATATGCTTGCATTTGGAGTATTTGGAAGTCAAGGAACGAAAACACTTTTCACAACGAGGAAATCAATGCTGAAAGAATGATAGAAGTGGCGAAATTGCTTTCCTGGAAATAACTCTGGTTAAAATGAAAAATCACATCACTATGTTTCAACATGATTTGATAGATTATTACTCCCTATGATTCTTCTAAGAGATATTTCAATAATTCAATAGCTGACTGAAGCTTGACAGCCGTATCGAAAATTCACCTCCACGACACATCCAACTCCTCTTGTAACTGCTATATTTTGTCTTGCTAATTTTTACTCATTACCTTCCATTTACTAGGGGCTGGTTGAAAGAGTAGCTGTTATTTTCTTCAATGCTGATAATATTCCGCTCGAGAAATTTATTTTCAAGCTTGCAATGAATCTCTCTTACAGTTCATCTATAGAAGAAGTTGATCTTCAGTTCTCTCTCAGATCATTCATGAGCAAGTTGTCAATTTCAGAATCTCTTACGAAGAAGCTTCCTCCAGGTAAGTACAAAGTATATACACCATTTGTTACAAATTAATTGAGAGGAAAAAAACTTTGTTTAGATAACAGCTTAACTAAGAACTTACAGCAGAAGTGCTTATCATATAAATTGCCTATGTATAAGGCTATAAGCTATTACTATAACAAAATATTAAAAAGTCACTGTTTTTATGTAAGTTTATAAACTTTTTTCACAAGCTATTATGGAAAGTTTATAGAAGTAAGTTGAAAATAGTTCATGGACATGTTATAAGTTGTTTTCATAAGTTCTGAATAATAATTTCATAAGTTCTTATGCTAGTAGATAAGTTCGAACAATTCAATAAATCGACCTATAGACTTAAACCTATTGTTTTCGATTCTAAACAGATTGCAGGTGGGAGATAACTGCTTACTTTCGATCCATTCCTGAGGCAGGCACAAGCAAGGAAGCGGATTTGTGGATTCCAACCGACACAAAGCAGTGGCAACAGCCTCCACTTATTACCCCTATCAAATCAATGAGTACTGAACCTCTTTGTTTGCAATTGTACTTGGAGCATCCATGTTTATCAGAATCATTGCATTGAGAAGGGAACTTAAGTATGGTGAGAATTTAGGAGCAATTTTTTCACTTAAAATTTCAAGTCTCATTGTTTTTTCACTTCATGGTGTTTTGATTTATTTGATAATCATCAAACTTTATACTAAAAATTGCTGGTGTCTTGTTTTCCACTAACCAATCAATACTGTGAAGGTTGGTAGCTTAAGAACAACAAGCACAGTTTTTAAATGGAGGTAAAATGTTATGAAGATGATTGAATAATAGTGAGTTGTGAATACTATTAGATAAAATAGCTAAAAGTTTTGTAATTTTATTCTTCGGCATTAGCTAGCTGGTATTTATAGAGATATTACAACCTAATTATTTCCTTAAATAAAGGAGAATAGTATAAAAAATAAACAAATATTCTGAAATAAATAACAAATATTTTAAAAATAGGAAATATTCTGGCACTCTCTTTTCAAGTTGATGCATAGATATCTATCATGATCAATTTGCTGACTAGATGTTCAAAGATGGGGCTAGCCAAACTCTTGGTTAAAATATCCGCAAACTGTTGACTAGAAGTAACAAAAGGTAGGCATATAGTCCCAACATCTATCTTCTCTTTTATGAAGTGTCAGTCAATTTCAATGCATTTGGTTCTATCATGTTAGACTGGATTATGAGTTATGCTAATTGTTGCTTTGTTGTCGAGTATAATTTTAAGGGTAGTTCGATTTTTTTTAGAGTTCTTCAAGGACTCTTTGAATCTATAGTCTCTCACAAATACCTTGAGCCATAACTCTAAACTCGGCTTCTGTAATACTTCTTGCTACCACTCCCCATTTCTTGCTTTTTCATGTCACAAGATTATCCCACACATAGACACAATATCTAGAGGTAGACCTTCTATCTAGGATTGAGTTTGCCCAATCAACGTTTGTGAATATAGAGACACCCCTTTTGTTAGTCTTTTTAAAAAATAATCTCTTTCCATGATTAGCCTTCAGGTATCTCAACATCATGTAAACAACTTCAAAATGTTCGTCAAAAGGAGAATGCATTAAGTGACTTACTTCACTCACTGAAAAGACAATGTCAAATCTTGTATGTAATAGATAAATAAATTTACCAATCAATCTTTTAAATCTTCATATTGACAGAAACATCCCTTTTTTTTCTAAAACTTTGCTTTAGGATTCATTGGAGTATCCACGGGTTGAAAACCACTGATCTCTGTTTCTTTCCAGAGATATATGATGTATTTTTGTTGTAACACTACATTTTCCTTCTTTGATTTCGCAACTGCCATATGTAGAAAGTATCTCAACGATCCTAAGTCCTTAATTTCATAGTCGTTAGACATCTCTTTTACTCTTGCCCTTTCAACTCTACATCATTTTCGGTAAAGATGATATTATCAACATACACAATGAGTATAGAGATTATTCTATCGTGAGAGAACTTTGTGAACAAAGAATGGTTAACTTAGCCTTGAATATACCCTTGTTTTTTCATGGATTAGGTGAATTTTTCAAATTAAGCTTTGAGAATATGTTTTAATCCATACAATAATTTTTCTAACTTGCACTTATTTAAGCTAAATTTGTCTTCAAATTTAAGAGGAACATCCATAGACACCTCTGCGTCTAGATTGCTCTTGAGAATGACATTTTTAATACTCAACTGATGTAAAGCTCAATCTAGGTTCTTAGTAAGAGGCAGGAGTATGCTGACAGTGTACAATTTTACAATAAGAATTGTTAAAATACAAGAGACTAAGAGATATTTGAATAAACCGTGTGTTTTAAAAAGCACTACGGAGACATTATTATATATAGATAGATTAGAACTAATTACATGATATAGTCGATGTGAGACTATTCTATATACAAATATCCTTAACACTATATATATTTACAAATATCAATACCATCCTTCAAGCTTGACCATATAAGTCAAATGCACCAAGTTTGTTACATATATAATTAATTCTGGGACTTCGTAGGGATTTTGTAAACACATCTGCCAGTTGATCACTAGAGTTGACAAAGCTTGTGACGATGTCGTGTGACTCAATCTTTTCTCTGACAAAGTGACAGTCTATCTCAATATGTTTGGTCCTCTCATGGAAGACTGAATTTGAAGCAATGTCAATGCAGCTTGATTTTCACAAATAAGTGTCATTGGTCTTACTTTTTCAATTTGAAGTTCCTTGAGCAACTATTTTAACCAAATAAAATAAGTTCACATGTTGTCATTTCCATGACCCTATACTCTGCCTCGGCGCTTGATCTTGCAACTACATTTTGTTTTTTACTTTTCTAGAATATAAGGTTTTCTCTAACAAGTACACAATACCCAGAGGTGGATCGTTTATAAATGGGTGACCCTGCCCAATCAGCATCGGAGTATCCAATTATCTGGTTATGTCCTTTATCCTCATACACAAGACCTTTTTCTGGAGTACATTTGATGTATCTCAGAATCCGGAGAATAGCATTCATGTGTTCATGACAAGGGAAATTTAAGAACTGACTTACCACACTGACTGTAAAAGAAATGTTTGGACGAGTGACTGTGAGATAATTCAACTTTCCAACCAATCTCCTATATCTTCCTGAGTCAGATAGAGACTCCCCTTGATTGGGTAGTAGTTTAACACTTGGATCCATAAGAGTATGACTGGTTTAGCATTTAACAAACCTGTTTCTTCCAAAATATCCATAACATATTTCCGCAGAGAAATCACCAAACCATCTTTAGATTGAGCTACTTCAATACCCAAGAAATAGCGGAGTTTACACAAATCTTTTGTCTGAAATTATTTCGAG